TCTTCTGACAGTGCCTGCTATGTTCAGTAGTTTTTCACCAGCACCATCATTCAAATGTATAACTTCTTCCGTTTTCTTGAATTATTATTCAACATTCGCATGTATATAAAGCTAAGGAAAATCTTTTGGCTAAAGCCAGGTGCATCTTAATCCTCAAAATATCTTCTTGGATTTTTAACTCTTCAAATAGGTTTTTTGCCAACAGATCCCCTGCCCCCACATCTGCCCACCCCTGCAGTACTATGTGGTTTGGTTTCTCAACTGTGATTATGGATCCAAGTAAAGTGAATTTTTTGACAACTTCAGACGTTTCTCTCCTTATCATGGTGTTCTTTGTAGGTCCAGTTAGAGGATTCCTTAAATAAAGGGGTAATTCATAATGAAACCATAATCTTTGATATCCATCAGTATGCACTTCATCAGTAAAGGCTTCTTTGCTTTTAGCAACTAAGCTTGTGTCATATACATAACATGGGTTCTTAATGAATCTTCTCCCAATTTTGTAGCTGCTTTCTTTTATTATAGTCTAGTTTCTTAAATCATTTACCCAGAATCCAGATTGAAGAGGATGTGGAAAGGACACAACCCTGATAAACACTTTTCATGCTATCAAACCACATAGCACTCTCTTGTTCTGTTGAAACAACGGCCTCGTGCTCGGCGCACAGCTTCCTCTCAAGCACAGTAAAGCACTCTGGAATCCCATTCTTGGTAATGTTATACATAGTCTGTTAAGGTCTACCCATTATGGCCTTTCCATAATGAATAAAACACAACTTTTTGCATTCTGTTTTCAGATCAGAACCTTGATATCAGGAACGAACCTTTCATTTATGTTCTCTTTTTAATCCAGCTTTAATTTCTGCCTGTTCCTTGTCAATTAGTGCTACAACTGGTTTTTGAACTCTCTTCAACACATTTTTGCTCGCACATGGTATTAATGATATTATTTGGTATTTCCTCAGTCTGTCGGGTGATCTTTTTTTGGAATGGGCACACATATGGATCACTTCTATTCAGTCAAATAGAAAGTCCTCTCACTTTTTTTATGTGTATGTGAGTGAGCAGTTTAAGCATTGCATCCATTTGTGGAAACATCTCAACTAGTATGTTGTTCATACGGGGAGGTTTGTATCTACCCAATATCTTCAGTGAAACTTATTTCAGAATCATCAGTTCTTGATTTTATACTACCTCCTTTGATAGCTGAGAGTGGGCTAAATATTTTTGGTACAGTGACTGTGTTATTTCCATCATCTTTTGACACTTCTGGCATCATTCAAGATTTTGTTCATAAAGTACTTCATACTACAATCAAAGCTTAAATATATTCTTCAGTTCTTTCAGCTTCAGAAATTCTGAGCATTTTCTTTCTGTGTTAGTCTGGGTTGGCTAGAGAAACAAATCCATAGTCGCTCATATGTGTATAAGAAACAGGTTTATATAAAAGAGCAATTGAAAATTGAGAAAACATCCGAGCCTAATCCAGATCAAGTCCATAAATCCAATATGAGACCATATGTCAGACACCAATCTATGAAGCCCTCTTAAGATTCACGAAACACATACAATGACACCGAATGCTGGAAGATCACAGGCCAGTGGGTTGGGAGTCTTCTGGATCCAGTGGTGTTGCAAGCATCTCAGCACGGACAAGGGTCACTTCATGGCTTCTTTGGCTCAGGGCACTAACACAGTTTCATGTGTCTTGTGAGCTACAAAGTCTCGCAGGGAGTGAGTAGTGAGAGACTTTGCTGCCTCCAAGGAGGAAATCCAGACTTCCCAGAATTCTCTGGAAAAGGCCAGGCCCACCCAGAGACCTCATTGGTTATAATCTGATTGACAGACTAGACTCCACCCCTTTACTCTTAATCCACGAATTGACAAATGATTATATAACTACCACACTTTCCATTTTTTCCCCCCCTGAATCCAAGTTTTTGTATGTTTCACTATAATACTCTACTCTGAGCTATGCTTTGAAATCTGCTGAGCCCTTTCATTTAATCATTTCTTCCTTTCACTTTCCCTCCCTCCTCTGCATTCTTGAGCAAGTTTCTGATTCTATTATGACATTCATATTTTCTTCATTGCTAATACTTTTGATGATGTTTTGTTTCTTCTCAGGGTCATATGATTTCCTTGATGTCATTGCACAAATCGCATTGTCTTTGGTAGCGTTCAGTGCGCCAATTCTCTTCTTCACATGGTCTCTAAAGGAAAGTAGTATATACTCAAGGTCATATTTTGGCTTTCATATACTTGCTTTAATTTTCTTCAGTGAACTTTCCTATGAGGAATTAATGGTATGGCCTGCAGTTGGCCTCCGGTCATGTTCTAACTGACAATATTGACTTTATTTCTATTGTTTTGCTCTACAAATACAGTCTATTTTATTTCTGTGTATTTCAAATAACAGGGTGATGCTCATGGGCATGATCACTATGTTGTTGAAAAAAGCTATGTACAATGAGCAGAAAATCATTGGTCTTGTTTCTAGCAGGCAATCTTCCACATTATTTCTACCAACAAGATCATATTTTTCAATTCTTCTTCTTCTTTTTTGTTTCTAACGTTGCATGCAAATCACCAGGATTCATCAATGTATTTTCATTGCATGTTTGATCAATTTCAGACTTGAGAAGTTGGGGAAAAACCTTCAGTTCCTTCATCATTGGTATAAGGGATTGGTGCATAAATTTGAGTAACAGTTGAGTTCAGCGATCTTCCTTGTAGGTTTAAGAATATCCTTCTAACAGTGAGAATATTGTACTTCACGTTAGATTTTGAAATATGGTGTTTTACAAGGAGTGTGACAGTATTCTTCTTTTTGTTATTCCGGACGTAGTAGAACATACGTTTGTGCCATTCACCATGGCCCAAATCAGTCCAGCGCAACTCACTCATTTCTGACATATTAATCCTTCTATGCTTCATTTAATTTTAAACACTTTCAATTTTCCTAGGTTCATACATCTTACATTACACATTCCAATTTTTCATAGATTTTGTCCCGTTAGCAACAGAAGGTCCCCAAAGCTTGCTGCATCCATGTGCTTAGGCTCTCTCCTTTGAGGGGATAACACTTCCCAGTCACATTTTCAGTGCCTGCCCCAATCTGAGACACCCATTTTCAGCTGCCCTCCATAAAGTGTGGGCTGGATAGCTTTTGCTGTTATTGCCATTGTTTCCTAGAAGTAGATTTCCAGTCCCTCCATCCTAATCTGTCTGAGTTTGGAAGCTGTCTACTAGGGATGACTCTGCTAGTAGGATGAAACCCAGTGGCATCTCTTCTAGCAAGTCAGCAACACACATGCCACCACAGGGCAGCAGATTGACACCTGAGTAGTGAGGTTTAATCCGAAAATCCAAAATCACTGAAGTCAAGTGATAGCGTTCTACATTGCCACCCATGCAACGATAGTCAAACTTAACTTTCAGTGAGACCTTTCACACTCCCTTGAAATATCATTTAGCTGATTTTTTCAGCCTCTTTTGACCTTTATCATAAGAGATGGGAAAAAAAAAACCCGAGAATGATTAAAATTAAACTAGCCTTTATTAAAAGCTTATCATGGAATAGGCACCATTATGGAGATTGACATTTAATCCACACAGAGATCCTCAGAAGTGTGGCTTACCATCTAGATTTTCTAGAGATGTTTTCTGGGACACAGAGACAGGTGCAGGCATGCAGGGAAAGTCAGCAACAGTGTATGAACCTGTCTTCCGGAATGTTAGAGGTCCTGGTCCTTCGATCCCATCACCTCCTTCATCTGCAGACTTCGTGCTTCCTTTGAGCCTTTCAGTCTAAGCTGTTGAAGTTTTCTCCGCTCACCTGAGTAAGTCAGGTTGTCCTTGGGAGTGGTAGCGGTGGCAGAGGGTCTGGTATTAACTCTGAATATATCTGCCACGGGATGTTTGCAACAGTCATTCCATTTAGACAAACTCCGACACTCCTTGACTGCACTGCTTTAGATGGGGGTTCTTGATGGCCTCAATCAGCCAGTGCTGAGGACTTGGCCTTGGGAGAAAAATGCAGAAGTTCTGTGAAGTGGTTCATGACAATTTTGCATGCCACCAATCTGGCCATAAGTCCCTCTTACCAAAAGCTGAGTGCATAACAACAATGTTTTAATTTCTTCTGGAGTAATAAGTCTGTCTCTGTCTCTGTCTCTCTCCCTCTGTGTGTGTGTGTGTGTGTGTGTGTGTGTGTGTGTTCCAGTGTGTGTGGTGCTAGCAAAGGGAGTTGGAAAGGCACTGCAGTTCCTATTCATCTTTACAAACAGAATACCGACCTCCTAAGGGGAGGTAAACCGCCCTGGCTTTGAGTACTTTGGGGTAAGTCCTTAGAGGGCGTTACTCAAGCCAAATTTCAGGGCCGCCACCGGACTCCGGATCACTGATAAATGAGCCAGCATTTGAATGTTTAGCCGGCTGTGACGACTTTGCATGGAAATATGAAAATTTATTACCAGTTTGCCACATCAGTGCCTGCCCTGCCTGCTTCTTGTGGCACCCTCCTGTGGAATCCTCCCACTCCATCTGACAGTCAAACCCCTTCTCCTTCCCAGGCTTCCCCTCCCCCGCAGAGATTTGATGGTCCAAACTGTCACAGGAGTCCTAGCTGTCCTTTTTCAAGAGCTATGGCCCTCCAGATGATGCTGATGCCTTTGGACTGGGGCTGGATGCGCGAGTGGGTCTCTGTGTGTGTCCTCTTATTAATTAGGGAGCTCTGCCCATGACCTTGTTGGGAGGGCTACCGGGTGGCCATTCCCCGGGATTGTAGCTTGTATGCAGCTCCCAAAGTGCGTGAGCTGGGGAGGGGTTGGGGGTGGCGGCAGAAGGCGAAGGAAGCGGACGGGAGAAGCAGGAGAGGAGGAAGGAGGAGAGAAGGCGAGCGGAGTCTCAGGCAGACAGGCTGAGCCAGCCAATCAGCGGCGGGCTGGAGCTGCAGAAGACGTCGCCTCGGAGCCTGGGGCCGGTGGTGCGCGGAGCCCGGAGTCTGGGGCTCTTGGAGAACCGCGAGCAGCGGTGCCCAGGCGCTGGCAAAGTCCCCTCCTGGCTCCTGAAACGTGAAGTTCCTTTTCCACCACTTAAGGGAAAGTCAGCCAAGGTAAGACTCGAATCCTTGACACTCCATAGCCACCGGAATCTGGGTGCTGCCAGGGGGCTGCTTGCCAGGTGCTGAGGCACCCCCGCGTGCGATCAGGGGCGGCATCCTTCTCTGGGGTGGATGATGCCCGGGCTGCCGGGAGAACGGGAAAGTTGGATGCAGGTGCTGGAAAGCCCGTGGCTGCCGGGCGTCTGCGATTGCTTCTCGGGAAGACTGCCCGGGAACCTCTGGAATGCCGATCTCCGGGATCGTGCCTGGTGCCCTTGGATGTGCCTGGCCGGCGCCCGAAGAAGTTGGCAGGGGACTCCGCGGGCACGTTTGCACCGACCCGTGTGCTGTCTGAGGAAGGGGAGCCGAGCTGGGTCAGAGTCCCCGCGGGGACCGGGCGGCGGGGACCTCCAGCGCGCCTCTTGGAGGATCATCTTTCCAGGGTCGTCTCCCAGAACCGGAGAGCCAGGCTGGAAAACTGCAGCAGAGCTGGGCTGCTTTGCGCCTCTCCGTCTCCCTTCTCCCCTCCCCTCC